GTTCCCCTCCTGATATACCTGTCCTCTTAGTTTGCTTTTGTTTTAGGTGTGGTTGTTAATGAGTTTGCTGTCCTTTCACTGTTCATATTTTTTATCTTCTATTTCTTAGATAAGTCCCCTTAACATTTCATATAATAAGGGCTTGGTGATGAACTCCTTGAACTTGACCTTATCTGAGAAGCACTTTATCTGCCCTTCCATTCTAAATGGAAGCTTAGCTGGATACAGCAATCTTGGGTGTAGGTCTTTGGATTTCATGACTTGGAATGCTTCTTTTCAGCCCCTTCTTGCCTGTAAGGTCTCTTTTGAGAAATCTGCTGACAGTCTGATGGGAACTCCTTTGTTAGGTGACTGTCCCCTTATCTCTTGCTGCTTCTAGGATTCTCTCCTTCATTTTCATCTTGGCTAATGTAATAATGATGTGCGTTCGTATCTTTCTTCTTGGGTACAACTTCTTTGGGATTCTCTGAGCTTCCTGGACTTCCTGGAAGTCTATTTCCTTTTCCAGACTGGGGAAGTTCTCCTTTATTATTTGTTCAGGTAAATTTTCCACTTGTTGCTGTTCCTCTTCCCCTTCTGGTACCCCTATAATTCGAATGTTGTAATGTTTAAAGATGTCCTGGAGGTTCCTAAGCCTCTTCTCATTTTTTTGAATTATTGTTTTTTCATTCTTTTCTATTGGTCATTTTTTTCTTCCTTCTCGTCCACTCCCTCAATCTGAGTCCCAGTTTCCTTCCCATCACTGTTGGTTTCCTATGCATTTCCCTTTATTTTCAATTAGTTTAGCCTTAATTTGTTCCTCTAATTTGTGACTAAAATGAACCAATTCTGTGAGCATCCTTATCACCAGGGTTTTGAACTGTGCATCTGAAAGGTTAGCTATCTCTCGGTCACTCAGAAATATTGGCTGTGGGGCTTTGAGCTGTTCTTGAGCCATAATGTTTTGATCTGTTCACGTCTGTTAGGTATGAGGGGTGGAGACTTAGGTGTTCACCAGGGTGGGGTTACCCAGTTGCTGGGTTGTGACAGTGTACGTGGGGGCGGGATCAGAGAGGTGGCAATGGTGTTTGCTCTGCTCTCTCGGACCTAGGTCCCCTCTGCTGCCTCCTGAAAGTAAATTTGGCCCTTCTGGTGCTGGTTCCTAGGCATGTGGGTTTGTGCACCCTCCAGGAACTTGTAGGTCTCTCCAGCAAACTCTCTGAGAGCTTGAGAGCTTCTCCCAGCACCTTGACCCCAGAAGTGTTTCCAATTGGTGCTTTTAGGCTCTTATTCTCATCACTGAGGCCCTGGCCTGAGTGGTCTGACTGCTCGCTCCTTCACTTGGTTTATCTGCGCACAAATGTGCGACTGTGATCAGCCCGCTGCCTTGCGCCCTCACTGGGTCTGCCTGTTGCCACCCCACACCTGGGATCCACCAACCGCCTGCGTTTCTGTGCTCCTGGGTCAGTCAGGCTGATTTTTCCTGACCAACCCTGCTCCACTGCCGATTCCGCCCCTCTTACCAGTCTTGATGAATGATTCATTGTTGGGCTTCCGTACAGTTAAATTTTCTGTGTTTTGGATGCGTTTTTGTTACTAAAACTTTGTTATCTTTAAACTTGGTTGGGTGAGGAGGCAGTGTTTCCACCTACGCCTCCATCTTGGCCCGGAAGTCCTTACTCTTTCTTAAACTACTTATTTTTATCGTTATTTTTATGCTCTTTTTAGAATCTCCATTTCAGTCCTTTGTCCTACTACAAAATATTTCTCCCAGTCTTATTTTGCTTTATGTTATTTTTCACTGAACACAGGTTTAACATTTTATTTATTTTATTTTTTAAAGATTTTATTTATTTCTTTGTAGAGAAAGGGGAAGAGAGGGAGAAAGAGACAGAGAGAGAATCATAGATCAGTAGGTTGCTTTTTTTTTTTTTTTTTTGGTGCCAAAACCCAGGATCAAATGTCAGTTGCTTCTTTTAAGCATCTCACTGACATGGGCCCTGGCTGGGAATCAAAACTGCAACCTTTTGTTTGTGGGACAATGTGCAACCGGGACACACCAGCTAGGGCTTATTTCTTTTTCTTTTAGTTTTTATTTAGTGATTTCATAGAGAAAGAAACATCAATTTGTTGTTCCATTTATTGATGCATTCATTGGCTGATGCTTGTATGTGCCCTGACTGGAGGCGAACCCTCAGTCTTGTTGTATGGAGTCAGCTCTAACCAACTGAGCTACCCAGCCAGGGCTTATGTTAGATTTAAATCTGCCTTGTTTAGAACTGTCCATCATTCTTTTTTCTTTTTAGGGTTTTATTTACTTATTTCAGACAGAGGGGAAGGGAGGGAGAAAGAGAGGGAGAGAAACATCAATGTGTGGTTGCCTCTCACATTCCCCCTACTGGGGATCTGGCCCACAACCCAGGCATGTACCCTGACTGGGAATCGAACCAGCAACATTTTGGTTCACAGGCCTGCACTCAATCCAGTGAGCCACACCAGCCAGGAGAACTGCCCATCATTCTTGTTTTGCCTTATAAAATAGGACAATTAACCCTTGATTATGGAGATATTGGTAATCTAGAAATAAAGATGCTGTTTGGGAGCATCTTGATACTGACTCTTCTTCCCCACACCCCGTGAAGATGTGACCTCAGTGACAAGAGGGTTCACTGCTGGAACTGAGAACATGTTTTTTTTTGTTTGTTTGTTTGTTTGTTTTTGTTTTTTAAATTTTTTATTGATTATGCTGTTACAGTTGTTCTATTCCCCCCTTCATTCCCTTCCACCCTACCCCCCCATCCCCACCATTACCCCCCCTTTAGTTTATGACCATATGTCTCAAGGTCTTTAGATTCTATATTCCCCATGCTATTCTTGCCCCCCATCTATTTTCTATCTACTGTCTATGCTACTTATTTTCTGTACCTTCTCCCCCCTTCTCCTCCTCCCACTCCCCCATTGCTAACCCTCCTTGAGATCTTCATTTCTATGTTTCCACTCCTGATCTAGCTGTCCTTTTAGTTTGCTTTCGTTTTAGGTATGGTTCTTAATAACTGTGAGTTTGTTGTCCTTTCACTGTTCATGTTTCTTTAACTTCTTTTTCTTAGATAAGTCCCTTTAACATTTCATATAATAAGGGCTTGGTGATGATGAACTCCTTGAATTTGATCTTATCTGAGAAGCACTTTATCTGCCCTTCCATTTTAAATGAAAGTTTTGTTGGATAGAGCAATCTTGGTTGTAGTTCTTTAGATTTCATGACTTGGAATACCTCTTTACAGCCCCTTCTTGCCTGTAAGGTCTCTTTTGAGAAATCAGCTGACAGTCTGATGGGAACTCCTTTGTAGGTGATTGTCCCCTTAGCTCTTGCTGCTTCTAGGATTCTCTCCTTCATTTTAATCTTGGCTAATGTAATTACGATGTGCCTTGGTGTGTTCCTTCTTGGGTCCAACTTCTTTGGGACTCTCTGAGCTTCCTGGATTTCCTGGAAGTCTATTTCCTTTGCCAGATTGGGGAAATTCTCCTTTATTATTTGTTCAAATAAGTTTTCCACTGGTGGCTGTGCCTTTCCCCCTTCTGGTACCCCTATAATTCGGATGTTGGAGCGTTTAAAGATGTCCTGGAGGTTCCTAAGACTCTCCTCATTTCTTTGAATTCTTGCTTCTTGACTCTTTTCTGTTTGGCCATTATTTGCTTTCTTCTGGTCCACTCCATTGATTTGAGTCCCAGTTTCCTTTTCATTGCTATTGGTGTCCTGTGAAATTCCATTCATTTCAATTAGTTTCGCCTTCATATATTTGTCTAATTTGTGGCTATAATCAACCAGTTCTGTGAGGATCCTGATGACCAGTGTTTCAAACTGTGCGTCTGAGAGTTTTGCTATTTCTTCATCGCTTAGATTTATAGGCTCTGGGGCTTTGAGCTCTTCTTGAGCCATTTTTGGTCTGTTTGTGCCCTTTAAGTATGAGGAATGGAGCCTTGGACTCCCAGGTCGCTGGGTAGTGACTCTGTATGTGGGGGCGTGGTCAGAGCAGGAAAATGGCAGCACCCTCTGCTGTTTTGCACCGCTGGGTAGGAGCAGAGCCTTGGGCGGTTCACCAGGGCCGGGCCACTCAGAGTCGCTGGGTTATGATGCTGTATGTGGAGGTGGGGTCAGAGCAGGGAAATGGCAGCCCCCTCCGCTGCCGCTTGCCGCTGGGGACCCGCTGGGTCCAGGTCCAATCGCCTACTCCCTCGCTTGTCTATCCGCGCATGAAAGCGCGACCACAGTCAACCCACAGCCCTGCTCCCCCGCTGTTTCCCCTGAGGTCGCTCCCTCGGTTGCTCACTAGGTCCAACCCTGCGCCTGGGTTCTGCGAGCCTGGGTTCTGCGCGCCTGAGTCCGTCTGACCGACTTTTCCTGTGCAACCCCGCTTCACCAGCTGCTGGTTTCACCCCTTACCGGTCAGACTGAAGAATTTGTAGTTAACAGACTTCCGAAAAGTTCAATTTTCTGTGTTCTGGCTGTGTTTTCTGTTGCTAATATTTAGTTGTCTCTAAACTTGGTTGTGTGAGAAGGCACGGATATCCACCTATGCCTCCATCTTGGCGGAAGTCTCCGAGAACATGTTATTTTTAATAAGTTTCATATCCTTTGCCTAGTAAGTTTGAAACAACCTTCTGTTAATGTGAGAGTGTTTCTATCCATGTGTCACCTTCCCAGAAATCTGTAGGTCACCAACATTAATACTGTTCTCTTCTAGTCACCCACAAATTCAGAAATTAGCTATTATTAATTCTTCAGTTGGTTTCCAGTTTGATAGCTAAAACAGTTTCAGGTATGTGGCCAAGCTTCCCTCTAGACAAAATTCTAATTTATTAGTATTCACTGTATCCATGTGACATCTATTGTGTTAGTGCCCTCCCTTGCCTCTAAAAGAGTCATTGATTTATTTCCATTCCTAAAGCCTAGAATTAATTGACTATTACTGAAAGTTACTTTGAAAGTACTACTTTAACACACCAGTGTGTATCTTTTTCAGGGCAGTTATATGATGGCTATGATGAAGAGTATGATTGTCCCCTTGTAGATGAAGATAGAGTAAGTTCAACTTTTTAAATAAAGTATAAAAATTTTAAAATTCAATAGGGAAGTTGACACTTTTAAAACAATCGTTCATCTTTTTCTTCCCTCCACCTTTCTTATAGGTAGTGGGTGAGTTAGAAAACCAAGTGAGTGAAGGTGGAATTATTGTTGATTACCATGGTTGTACCTTCTTCCCTGAACACTGGTTTCATAGAGTTTTTGTGCTGCAAACACATAACAGTATATTGTACAAAAGACTTGAAGCAAGGTAAGAAAGGAAATACATTGAATTCTTAAAGTATCATATGAACTTGTTTTCAGATTCAGAAATTGACCATTGTGACTACTTTATTTGGCCTCTACTTAAGAACCAAATTTGCATGGTACTGACATCCTGAATCTAAAAGAAGATGCATTTTTTATAACACAGGCATTTGTGTAATGGTGTAAATAAATATCTCAACTGAGAGTTTAAGTAAAATATACTGTAGAGCAACCCTATTTAATATGCTTTTTCCTTAAAGTAAAACCTTACTAGGAAAACAGCCAAACCAATAATAGTCTTTGGCTATTAGGTTTTGCTATTGAGTGAACATTACCCAAATTATGCTTATAAGAGGAATGGGAGAGCTTATGAAAAACTAACAAGATAAATCGACATTTCACACTCTTTGAAATATACTTCAGTTAGTGCCTCTAAGAGAGTGTGCCACTCCAGAATAACAAAAAAAGATACATTTTTGAGGAAACATTTTCCCATTGCCTTTTAATTCAAGCTGTGGGAAGATGGGAGTGCTAAGAGGAATTTAGAGGGCAGTCTCAGGAAAGAAAACTCCAGAAATTTGCCTAAGGTCAGATTCAGAATTTGTGGTTCTCACCAAAGCAGCTCTGAATAACTATCACTGCATGGGACACTTGCACAGAGGACTACAGTGACAGACATATAGGGAAAGCTAGGTTGGAACAAGACCTGAAACTTTCATCATTTTTCTCTAGGCAGTGAAAAGCCATTAAGTGTATTTGAGCAGAGAAGTAATAAAGAACCATATAACTCATAGGCTTTTCTCCCCAAACAAGACAATTTTTTAAAATTCTATTAAAAAAATTTTTTTTTGTTTTTTAAAGATTTTATTTATTTTACTTTTAGACAGAGGGGAAAGGAGAGAAACATCAATGTGTGGTTGCCTCTCACACGTGCCCTTAATGGGGACCTGGCCTGCCACCAAGGCATGTGCCCTAGACTGGGCATCGAACCGGTGACCCTTTGGTTCACAGGCCCATCAGTGCTCAATCTACTGAGTGACACCGGCCAGGAGAAAGAAAAATGACTGTTTCTTGTAAACAGCCAAAGACTTAAGGTTTGAAAAAATGAGAGGTAGACTTTTTTATCTGAAGCCGTTGAAAAGGTTATAATAAAGTACTTTAAAAAAAAACAGCTCTGTTATGATAAATTCACATACCATACAACTCACTTATCTGAAGTTTATAATTCAGTGATTTTCAGAGCTGTGCATCCATCACTACTGCTAGTTGTCGAAAATGTTCATCACTCCCTCACCCCCACAAAGAAAATCCATACCCATTAGCAGTCACTCTCCATTTTCTGTCACTCTCCCAGCCCTAGGCAACCAGTAATTTACTTTACTTTCTATCTCTATAAATTTGCCTATTCTGGACATTTCTTATAAATTAAATCATACTATATGTAGCCTTTTGTATCTGACTTTTTTGACTTGGTGTGATGTTTTCAAAGTTAATACGGGTTCTCAGCATGCACCAGTACGTCACTTCATTCGTTTTTTATTGCCAATAAAATTTCATTGCATAGACTGTATGTTATTTATATGTGATTTGCAGATATTTTCTCCCATTCTGTAGGTTGTCTTTTCATAAAATTAATCAATCACCTTTTAAGTAGTTTCATTCAATTTTGATTTTTTTATCCTCACCCGAGGATATGTTTATTGATTTGACAAATCAATTTGTTGTTCCATTTCTTTATGCATTCACTGATTGCTTCTTCTCTGTGCCCTGACTCAAGATTGAACCTGTAATCTTGGTATATTGGGACAACACTGTAAGTCAACTGAGCTATCCAACCAGGGCAGAATTTTTAAATATTTTTCACTAGCTAATTGGTTGGCTAATTTACATATCTGCCTAATGATTACTTAAGTTTCTTTTTTTCAGTGTCTTTGGAATTGGTAGAGATACATGTATACATGAGTGATCAATACCCAGTTAGTGTATATTATTTCAATCATATGCATTTCATTTTATCATATGCCGTCTACATGTTTTATCTGTTTATATCATAACTGCTCTAATTCTTTTTAAAATCTAGGACCATAACTATAGACTTCTTATTTTATCTCATAGCTCAGAATCTGGCTTGAGATAGGTAGATATGTTTACTAACTGAGTGCCTGACAAAATGTCAGGAGGAAAAATTTCAGACAAACCTAAACATTGATCTTTGGTTTAATCCTCTTGTCAAGCCCTCATTCATAGGTGCTAGTCTATTTCTACAGGTAAAGAGAACACAAGAAGTATTTTTGCCTGATTTTTTGTGTATTCCACAGTCTCCAGTTTCTGCCATGTTCCCTAAAACTCCAATTTGTTTGCTTATCTTCTCTCTGCCTTCTAGGGGTTACGATGAGAAGAAACTGACAAATAATACTCACTGTGAAATATTTCAGATTCCTTATGAACAAGCATTAGCATCCTACAAGGTGGAAATAGTGCACCAGCTGCGCAACGATGAGCCAGAAGATCTAGAGCATAATATCAATGAGATATTGAAGTGGGTTGAGCAATGGATCAAAGATCAGAGCTCTTGACATGCAAGTCTGGCCACTTTAGAATCACTCATAATATTTCTCTGCCCACATCATATAAATTGTCCAGTCATCAGTAAAACTTATTAAAATTGTGCTGCAGAACTAGCAGAGTAGTATAAAGCTTTATGTTTGGGTTTCTTTTTTCTATGAGAAAGCTAAACAATCTCAAGTATAATGAATATGATGATAAAGACAATAAAAACTGTCATCATTTAATGCCTCAGTTGCTAAAGAATAAATAAATCTGAACAAATCTGTGTATGGATATCTTTTAAGTTTGTTACTGAAGAAAATGAACATGATCTCTTAGAACTGAAACCTCAAGAAATAACATCAGAGTTTCCATTTTCTCTAAAAAAGGGTGCTGAGCATGGTAATACACTCTGTATAAAATTCAAAATGTACAAAAGGTTATACTGGAAAGGTAAGTATCCCTTCTAGGCCACCCCTGTTCTTCAGCTACTGCAATTCCCTCCCTTTAGGAAATACTGTTTCCTATATTTCTTTTCAGGTATTTTATAGTGTGTGTGTGTTACATATTTTCTTAAGCCTAGCTAGCATACCATGTATACTATTCTGTATCTTTTCACTTAACATATTTGGAGATTTTACCATCTTAGAATCTATACACCTCCCTGTCTCTTTAAAAAAATTAAGACATAGTTCACATAACACTGACCATTTTAATGTGGACAGCCCATTGGTTTTTATCATATTCAAAATGATGTTATATTCAAAATTATTTTTGACTTGTAAAGCTATTGAATGTTTCTCATACTAAATGAGATAATACACGCCTGGCTTTACAGTTATAAATATATTAATCTTCTTTGATAGCTTTCAATCCCTAAGCATCTAATAAGCACATAGCATTGATCTTATTCTATTAGGAGAAATTTTAGAGCCTTGGTTCTATCTAGTTTTCCACATGTCTAGGTATGTTTGCTTTTGAAAAGCAGCTGATTAAGAGAAATGTGGGTTGGATCTGGAGAAGATGAAGACTGAAAGAAACTGGCTACTGACAGGAAAGGGTTTATTTATTTATTTCCAATCCAGAGTAATCTGAATCCAACCAAGTTTTGTTAATTATATATTTTTTATTGATTATGCTATTAGCTGTCCTGGTTTTTCCCCCCATTTGTCGCCCTCCACCCAGTGCCCCTACTCCCTCAGGTGAGACCTTCACCATTTTTCCTCTTTATGGGTCATGTGTGGAAGTTCTTTGGCTACTCCATTTCCTATACTGTCTTTCACATCCCCATGGCTATTGAGTAACTACCTATTTGTACTTCTTAATCCCCTCTCCTCTTTACCCATTCTCCCCCTCCTCCTTCCCATTTGGCAACCATCTGGTAACCAACTTCTTTTTTCTTGGTACTTTAAGAATCTCTCTTTAACTTTTGGCCTGTTAATTATGATGTGCCTTGTAGTGGGCCTCTTTACATCCATCATACTTGGGGACTTTATTGCTTCCTGGACTTGTATGTCTATTTTCCTCACCAAATTAGGGAATGTTTCTCACTATTTTTTAAAGATAGATTTCAATTTCTTGCACTTTCTCTTCTCTGGCACCCCTGTGAAGTGAATGTTCGAATTCCTGAAGTTCTTCCACAGACTTTATACTAGTATTCCTCATTTTTCTGGATTCTGTTTTTCTTCTTGTTCTGTGTGGTTGTTTTTTGCTTCCTTATATTCCAGATCATTGAATTGATTCTCAGCTTCATCCACTGTACTGTTGTTTTCCTGTAAATTGTTCTTTACTTCAATTAGTGTATCCTTCATTTCTGACTGGGTCTTAGATATGCTGAGGTCCTCCCTAAGTTCCTCGAGCATCCTTATAACCAGTGTTTTGAACTCTGTATCTGATAGATTACTTACCTCCATTTCATTTAGCTGTTTTTCTAAAAGTTTTGATCTGTTCTTTCATTTGAGCCATGTTTCTCTGTCTCCTCATCTTGGCCACCTCCCTGTGTTTGTTACTGTGAATTAGGTAGAGCTGCTTTGACTCCATGTCTTGGTAGTGTGGCCTAACGTAGTAGGTGTCCTGTAGGGCCCAGTGGCACAGCCTTCCCTACCACCCACGCTTGGTACTCCAGGTGTGCCCTTCATGTGGGCTGAGTATACCCTCCTCTTGTACTTGAGCCTTTCGTTTTGTTGGCAGATCCATGGGAAGGATTTTCCCAGGCCAGTGAGCTGCAGGCACTGGCTGTGACCACTGACCACCAACCTCAGCCCTCCATGGAGGGTTAGCTGTGCAGGGGGTAGGGCAGTGGTCCTTCACCATGGTCTGTAGTTGTTCACTGGGTGCACCTGGCCCTGGGGTTTCCCAGGTGGTGCAGGCCAAGGTCAGCCCCCACCTGTGTTTTGCCTGGGGCACCCTGCCCAAGCCATAAAGCAATCTGAGATGGCTGCTGTTTGTGCTGGGCTTAGAGATTTCCATAGCCAAGTTTTTTGATCACTACAAAATCCCTTCAGTTATTTCATAGATGTTGGTGTGCACAAAACAGAGGTTACATACTAAACCTGACAAGCTCAGGGGAGACCGAGCTGTGGGCCTTACAAACTCAGAGACAAAGTAACCACATAGGATGGTCTGAACATAAAAATTCATAACTAAAGGCAAGTCATGATGGGTAGTCAGGTCCTAGGTCTGTAGCTTCCTTGGCAAATGTCAATCTTAAGTGAGGCTGTCTATTGTCTTTTTCTTCTAACATAACATTTTTGGAATGTCAGAGTAATCTCCTGTCCCAGACCCCTCAGGGCACAACAGCTGCACCAGAGCAGAGACCTCAGAACCCCTCACTGTTATCTTGTTCCCCAAATACCATTCTGGGGTGTAAATGTTAATTATTAAGTATCCTGTACCTAATGGGGACTCGAATGTTGAAAATATTTAGTTTCAGGTAACAGCTAGTAAGCTTGCTAATCCATATGTAAAAAGCTATTGTTCCAGCAACTGAAGGTTTGACCCACCTTAATTCCAGGAGACCATAAGCAGCTCCACCTTTGTGCCTGCCACAGGAGGACTGTGGGCAATCAAGATGGCATCTGAGCCACTGTCCTCCATTCCAGGGTGAGACACCCCCGAATACAGAAAAAGACCACTGCCCAGGGTACAGATTAAAGAATGCTGCACCTTTTTATCTAATTAACTTTTCCCCTGAATTCCAAACCCCTTACCCACACTCTTCTTCCTTCTCAAAAGGGTTGGTTGAAAATGGAATGTAAAGTGGTCTGTTAGGGTACAAACCCACTGTCTTCTCAGATCACAAATAAAGCTCCTGTAAAGATTCAATCCCTGTCTCTGCTTATCGGGTCTGGTAGGTGACAGACAGCACCAATGCCGGCTTTTCCAGTTTCATACCCACCTATGTAAAAGAATCATGTATTCTTCTATTTTGTTTTTCTATCCAAGCCCAGAAATTTCCCAGATTTTCTTTCTCCTACCCCCTTACTCTACCACCAATGGACTTCATGTAACCCTCCTTACTCTCCTCCTTTAATTCTAATGTATAAACTAAGCTGCAAAATCTGCCATTCCCTGGAGAATTTTCTCAGTCCCTTGAGATTTTGCTTCTGGACAATTGTAATCAGTTTGCCTCAAACTCATAAAAATTCTGAATAGGTTTGGACATTTTTTACATCGCCATTGGGTATTCGGAAATACCAAAATCATTTCACCAAGGTAATAAATCTGATGGCCTAAGGAGTTTTGATGAGGTTTGAGAAGGCAGGGTCCATTTCAAGAAACCCACAGGAAAAGATGGCTCAGAGAAGCACTTGCTAGGCACTCCAGGCCCGCCACCCGCTCTGTTCCTTCCCAGTGCCAGGCTTTGGCCCCAGGGCTGCAATGCTCTCGCCGCACCCTAGGGCTGAGCCTGCATTTCAAGGTCTGCCTCCACCCTTTTTCCCTTATGCGACTTGTAGAAACAACGTTTTGAACAGTCTAATGCTACCTTTACTGATGCACACACGGTCCTGTTCTGTGCATTCCGGTGCCCTCAGCGGGGAATGCGCGGGGCTTTGGAGCTGGACAGAGCTCACCGCCTGTGGCACTCTCCGAAGAGCACAGCTCATACTCACGGGGTCCAAACAGGCGGCTCCTTCCGGCTCTGGACTGCGCTGCGCCGTAGCGCCTGGATGACGCAGCCGTGGCGCTGGCGACCTGACGCACAGGCGCCGGGTGAGCGCGTCAACGGGGGCGTGAGGGCAGCGGGGTCGCGGTCGTCCCACGGGAATCGTGATTCCCTGACCCTTGCTCCCGAAAGGGCTGGGGGGGTGGGGGTGGGCAGAGCCCGCAGGTGGAACCGCGAGTTGGGGGTGGGGAGGGGATGTTCGAGGCAGCGCAGATCGGGGAACTCCGCAGTTTGTGCACGAACTGGCAAACTGGATCCTATCCTGCTGAAGCCAGTTTAGTGGCCTCGTCGGACATTGAAAGTATAAGGAATGGGTTTGCGAGATTGCTTCTGCCTTTTTTCCTCTTCTCTTGACTTGAAAGCGTACTACATGAAATAGTACGCTTAACAATGAAAGCGTATTAAATGCAATATAGTATACTGAACTGGCTGCTGGACCAGCAAAAGAATATCAGGAGAAAAACTGGGGAAATTATAATAAAGTCTGTGGTTTAGCTAATGTTAACTTCTTAACATTTCGATACAGGCACTCTAATAGTAACATAAGAGGGATCTAGGTAAAGAATATAAAGGAGTTCTCTGCATCATCTTTGCAATTAACTGTAAATCTAAAATTGTTTTAACAGGAAGAGTTACAAAACAAAATTCTATGGCGCTGTGCACCTAGCCAGTATTGACCAGGCCAGGGTTCAGTTCATTCCTCTTTTACAGACCTGACAGGCATTGTTTGACCAACTTGTTTGCTAAGGCAAGAGTTGGTAGGTCACTGGGTGTGGATGCTTCTGGTCTGTGTTTCCCAGGAAGGAATCTATTTTCTCTTTTAATTCTGTCCATCAGCATTAAACACCTTTGGAACACCTGTTATGCACAAGCAAATGAGACACGTACACTCCCTGAACTAGGAGTGTATACAGTAAAATCATTAGGTAAGAAGCACTACTGAAAGTGACAATTCAGACCCAGGATAGCTCAGAGGTAGAAGAAATCACATTTGGCCCAAGGTAGTCTGGAAGGCTACTGCAGGGAGGCTGTCATGAACTGAGGGGGGCTTGAGAGGAAAAAACATTCCTAGGGTGGAGAATGGCCCCAGGTGAGGATCGAAGGTGAC